GTAACCTGAGTAAATCCTGGAATATCACTAAATAACGAAGCAAATTCACTTACCACTTGTCGGATTCTTCCTTGCTCGTCATTAGGCAGGTGGTCAAGGATTTAACATCGGCGGTTCAGCCTTTTCTTTCACGAACTGGTTTCATTGTCAGCTTAAGGGACGCTTCATTAAAATCCAGCGTTGCTTGTGCCTCTGAAAAAAAGAAAATCTATTCCTAAAATAATATGTGCTTGCAGATTCTTTACTATGAAAAACATAACCTTTACCTGTTGTTCGTCCTTGATACGGACATACAGCGGTAATTTACCTATACACTTACATTTTTCTCCTTGCGCCGCTAACACTGTCGTATTATCCGAATTATATATACGATATTTACGAAAATACTTCCTAAAAAAAATCTTCTGCCACACAGGAACACTGCGCCAGGAGTGCGGTGGCTGGGATATTTTTCACCAACACTTCAATCTTCGGAAGAGTCAAATTTTTCACCATTACTGTATTTAACTTGAAGGAAGAGGGGTTTTCTTGGCCTTCGGATTTCCGCACCCTCCCGTCAGCAGAAATCCGTTTTAGTTAAAATTATTTTTCATTTCCGTGCTTTCCTTCTTTTTCCACTGGCCTTGAGACTTTTTTCCTGGATTGCTATTGAACTGTTGACGTTCGCCGGCTGTTTTTGAATGCTCGGGTTTCCTTGCCCACTGATTCGCTTTGCTTCCGTAGCCGTGTGCTTGAGTTTGCTGTAGTCTTGGCGCACCAAATTGGTTTCGCTGTTGATATTGGCGTCTTCTTTCAATGTCCGCCGTTCTTCTACTTTCAAACTGGATTGCTAGCTCAAATAACTTTTCCAGTGTAGTCGGATTTCTTAATTCAATAAAGTCTTGCACTTGGGGCAGTAACCTCGGCAAAATCATTTGAATTATCTCAGGATCCGGACGGTTTCCATACAAGAGCTTGAAAACGTGAACTTTTCTTAAAATAAAGCTTGAGAGGTTTTCGATTCTTTGCTGATATATACTGAAAAGTTCCGTTTCTAATTTCGCACGATCCCTTACAACAGGGAAGGCTTTTAGTAGAGCAGTCTTGAAATTCTCGTAAGTATAGGTGGGACTTCCTGCTTGACCCAAGAGACTTCTGCCTATACACTTGAACCAGTTAAGCGCTTGGCCCCTCAAAGCGCTGGTGGGTAAGGTAACTTTTTGAAATTCGTGCACGGGGTAGAGCATGAAGTGGGTCATCCAATTTTTCCAAAAAACTGGTTACCGGTGAGTTTCCATTAAATGTTGCTTCTGGTTTCATCGAAGCGCGCATGGTCTGGACGATGTAACCAAATCCTTCCAGGGCGGCAGCTGGCATTTCTGGATTCTGAGCCGCTTCTGCAGGCAGCAGCACAGGTTCTTCTTGAAACTCGGCCATGGTTATTCTTCTTCGTTGGGCGCCACTATCAGGTTCAATGTTCCGTCTGTACGTCTTTACTTTCTTGATTTCGGGAACATGCAAGGACCTGACTCGGAACAGAGAGCTTACTAAAGCTATGTTCAATAACTGTGGGAAGTAGACAGGATACACAAGAAGGGTATACAAAACCCTTTATTTTCTCTATTTACAATAACTTCCGTACTTCGGAATACAAAGACCCCACTACTTGTGGTCTAAACGTAAAAATATAAAAATAAACTAAAAACTCTTAACTTTGAAATAATAAACGTGGAAGATTGGCCTTATATTAACAGGAAGCCGTATGTAGTACAGAGAACTGTTAACACTACAATACGTTTAAAATTATCAAGAGGATTAAACCTCTGGCCTGGAAGGCAACCAGCAACTGAGTAAAACTTCTAAGGTAAGCGGCCTGCTTCGACTAACTGCTTCCTCTCTCTCGCTTGGCAAAAAGCCACAACTTAAATACTTGGCGTTCGCCAGACAAACTTTGCATAAATACGTTAACGCTTATAATTCTGGCCGGAAGTAGAAAATAAGAAGTGATAGTAAAGATTTAAAATAAAATAAACGTTAGTAAAACTTAAGATCCTTACAGTATTACAAAAATAAAAACTAAGAAGAAGTTTGTCTGGAAAAACTGGAAAAAAAACTATAAACACGCGAAAAAACTGCCAAAATTAATGCTGGAAGATTTGCTAATGCACGAAAAAAAAAATTAATCTGACCGTTGTGACATGTGAAAAGTTAACTCACATGAAAAATAGATTCGACGGAAAAAAAATATATAAGAAAAGTAAATACATATAAAAAACATACAGATTGAATAAAATGCCAATACATAAAAAGTAAAAATTAAAATGAAAACAAGACCAAATTGCAACAGTAAAACAAAATACAATAATTAAATAGCGGAAAATGGTAAATTAACCCACTCGTACTCTCAATTGGCTTTTCAAGGGGGAAAAACTGATTGTCGAACTAGGTTAAATACCATTACGCGTTTCGCCGAAACAGACCATGAAGCTCTTGTTTAATGCGAAAAAAATTTTTTTAAAAGAACATTAGTATTCCCGAATATATCTTTTTTGGAATAAATCCTTTTTTGGAGCTTCACTGCTCTGTTCCTTTTCCCGACGCGTCCGCTGAAATACACATTAGGGTGTCAAAAGCAATTGCAACTCCGAGCAATGTAAAATTAAAATCAAAATCAAAATAGAATAAAATAAATAGCGGTCTGCTATTAGTCAAAAATTACAACAACGTACGAGCTGGTCCTTTAAACCTTAAAGAAGATGGAACTTTTATAAAGAGAATGGTGCTGTAAACAAATAAAAATGCAATGAAAATACAATGAAAATGCAATTAAATTTGTAAGAAAACAAACGTCGCAGGGTCTTATTAGGACCAAAAAACAATAGAAACGAAATAGACAATAGAAACGAAAAAATTGACCTGAGAAGTTCCTTCCTTTGCATCCGAAAAATTATTTTGGAAAAGGGTGCAAAACTCCTCCGTGCCCAAACCAACCTTCCTTATCGTCTAGTTCCCACCTTAAAGCATGCCTTCGTGGTGTTACGCTAGCCCACTCGGTGCATATTCGAGCCCCGACGAGGGCAATGCCTATTTTCCCTTCTGCAGCATCAAAATAACCTAATGTGTCCACAAGCTTTTCAAATATGTAAACTTGTCTATTTTGGATAAATTCGGATTGAATTCCTTCCCCTTCGTGATCACACACAGGGAAGGTGTGCATTCGTGGAGAACTTTCTAAGGGGAACTGGCTTGTGTACACGTTACACATGGAGAAAAACAGACGAAAAAGCCCATGCAACCAGCCCGTTCGCCAGAATTCGAACGCCGGACCGAACTACCAGTGTTCAGCGACTTGACCACGCTGACCGTTGGTGGGCTGGTAATGATGATTGTGTTAGTATTTTTCAGAACTAATTTTTCTTTCCTGACCGTTCTGTCAGCTGCTGAAAAGGCTCATGAAACATGAAACATATCGCTTAATTACACCGTCATTTAGACTGATCCCTTATTGTTCATTTATTTAAATTCACAAGTTTCTTTTAATATGCTTTGTGTGTATTTTAATATTACACTAATATTACTAGTTGTTATGCTTAGGTATCTAAGAGTGGCCATTAGTTTTATTATTCTAATGAAATTAGCTTTGGTAAAATTAAGAAATAAATTAAAATTTAGGTTTATATTTATTGCACTGAGATTATCTATTTAGAACACATTGCTCAGTATCTTCCATATTTGCTTACCCGTTCTTATCGTTTCTTAAATAATTACAACTCAGAAATACGAGAGGGAAAAAAATATCCTTTCTTAAATGTGCTCTCTTTTCTTTTGATCCAGGTCTTGCTTTGTAAATTTTATAAGGTATTTCTCCCCCTTTCCTAGCGTGTTTTCGTGGTGTAGTTGTTCTGCCCGCTGGGCCGGTATTCCAGAGGTCGAGGCTCGATTCCCGGCGAAGGCGGTCGCTAATTTTTCATCTTGCCTGCTTCCAAAAATATGTAATGTCTCTACAGTGGCACCCGAACTAAAAAGGGTGTTGGATGAGGTTTCTCTACACCCAGGATTTGGCGATTGGCTCCCCTAAAAACCCCAGTCGCTAGTTTGAAAAGGGGAGTATATAAGGTATTTCTCCCACTTTCTAGCGTGCCTTCGTGGTGTAGCGGTTCTGCACGCTAGGCCGGATTCCAGAGGTTTTTTTTTTTTTTTTTTTTTTTTTTTAATGGCACATTGTGAACAATTACAAATGTAACCCAGTCCATTAATCTATACAAAGCCGGATGTGGTGGTCTCTTTATTATGGAGGCACCTAATAGGTGGGACACCATCGCCTTTCATATGAGTGGACGGACAGTTAGAACCATGCCTTCTCCGGGATTCGAACCCAGGCCCTTCGGCACCGCAGTCAGCTTCCCTGACCACTATACCGACTGGGCGGCGGTATCCAGAGGTCCGTGGTTCGATTCCCGGCGAAAGCGTTTGGTAATTTTTCATCTTGCCTGCTTTTTTTAAAAAAAAAAAAAAAAAAAAAAAAACACCCTAATGTCTCTACAATTCAGGGATTAAAATTGAATTATAGGAACTTATCATATTTCACGGAAACTTATTGATTCGGACTGTCAGCGTGAGAGATTTACTTCATGGCTTTAAGAGTTTTCACCCAAACTTTCATTTTCTCTAATGTTAGGTTTTGAAATCAATAGGTTAAAATGATAATGAAAATAGCATGTTACAATACTGTGTAAATACAATTTGCTCCTCTGAATTCGTATGGTTGAAGGATTGACAGAAAAGTCTATTTTAATTATTAGTGAGTAAATTCTATAGATACTTAAAAAGATGTCATCGATATATGGAAAACAATCACAATGCTTTTTGTATATTAATGAAATTTTCATAAATTTTGGGGGAAACAAACGTTTATAGTTGGTTAAATTATTATGCCTCATTCTATGTTTTAAAATGTGCAGTTGCATTAGAAGAGTAGCAGTTTTATTTATATTTCTAGCCACTATATGAATTTCATGCAGGTGCCTTGCTGATGGCTATGTATTTGAACGGGCTAACTTCAAAAGAAACAGCTGACTTAACGGAGAAAATGATGAACTCCGGACATGTGTTTCACTGGCCAGAAGACTGGAAGGATACTGTTGTGGATAAACACAGTACTGGAGGTGTTGGGGATAAAGTGAGCTTAGTTTTAGCTCCTGTTTTAGCTGCACTTGGATTAAAGGTAACTTTTCCTTTCAGGTGAAAACAAATTGCTTTTCCACTTGGTTAGGAAATTGATATTACAAAGGCCATGTTCTTTTAAGCAAAGGCTTGCTCTTACTGGAGTAAATTTAAATAATAAGACCATTGAGTAAAAATGATTAGGGAAAGAAAGAAAAATTATCGTTAACAGACTGAACAGGTCAGTGCTTTTACCAAAAGTTCCTAAATCTGTTCGCGATTAAAAGTTATGATTCTATCGCTTTCTCAAGATTTGTCTATACCAAGTCTGAAGTAAACCCAGGCCAGTTAAACCCTTTCATCTTTAAATAAACTTTTGATGTCTTATTTTTCTTTTACGTTTTTTTGAAAAATAACTTTTGTTTCAAATAATTAATATTATTAAGTTAAAATAACTCCTTTTCTTTTTTCACGTAGTTACGTAGGAAAATTTGAAAAATATCATGTTTCAAAAACCAGCAACAGAAAGATCCTAAACAACAACTAGTATGCCTGCAAAATTTCAAGGCCCTCTGTAAAATGCAATGCTGTGAAATTTTTAACGTATGAAATTAAACACTGTTATTAGAGAGCTTTATATATCATAATCATCACACCAAGTTACTAATCGTACTAATCTATTTATCATCACACTAAATGGATATATATGGGGATTAAAAGTATCGCTTTTCTATTAGAATCTCCAAAGATCTGTATAAAGACGCAAGGACTTCCGGCATACATGTACGAAGTACCTCAAGCATACTCTATAGACTGTGGAGAAGACAGCCACATTAGTACTGTATTATAATCTAAGTAAGCTAGATACATAAAAAAATAGCTAGTCAAAGCATAAGAATTCATATTTGATATGAATCTCTGGTGTACGTTTATTTAACAAAGAACTATATTTTGTTAAGAACTACTTAAAAAACTTGAAAGAGAAATGTATTGTTATGACTTCATATCATAATTCCTTACGGCTTTAAAAAAATCAAATTTTGTAGCCGCTGAAATATGGAAACAAGCAAACATTCCAGCCAACTCCTAGCTAAATTTAGGAAGTTATCGCTTTCCACAGTTATTTTACACAGCTGGACATTAAAATTGCAACACTATGAAGGAAAGCAAATACAAAAAAGATATTTATTGCACATAAGCAGTATGGCATGACGACAAAATGATTAAATTTGTAAGCATTTTGGAGGTTTACAGAGGTGCGAAATTAGTAGAAACAGCTGCCACCACTGGCACCTAAAACGGCCCTTACCCATTAGACATGAAGTCACACTCGGCTTGGATGACAGAACTGGACAACTCATTCCATGCTGCTTCAAGTCTATACCACACTTCATCAACCACATTAGTTTTAGAGGGGTAGCAGGCCAGTCTCTCAGCAACCCATTACCAGATGTTTCAATGGGTGTCAGATCTGGAGGCCGTGCAGATCAGGGCAGCAATCGAATACTCTGTTTATCAAGGAAGGTCAGAACACAACGTGCAACCTATGGCCTTGCATTATCTTTTTGGAAGGTGGCATTTGGGGACCTCGAAGATAGGGCACAGCCACTGGACGTAAGATGTCAGAAATGTAACTATCTGCGTTCAAATTACCGTCGATCCGAACTAGAGATATGGGTGTTGTGTACCCTATGCTGATATTGAATGCAAGCAGAGGACGTGCGGCCTCCTTGGACACTCCAAACACGTATACGGCCATTAGAATACTGCACGTAAAACCCAGACTCATTTGAAAAGGCGACATTGTGCCACTCCTGTACCCAACTTTGTCCTTGGGCGCACCAAAGTCATCGTATCTCTCTATGCTGCATTGTCTCAAGGGAAGCTGAAGTAATGGTTACCTTGCTGATAGTCCACGCTGCTGCGAACGTCGACACACCTTACGAGCTGATACTGCGTGTGCCGCAACATGCCCATTTCCTGACTAATGGTCCTTGATATGGTCGTACGGTTTTGCAGGGCTGACCTCAATATGTCTGTCCTTTCTGGCGTTGGTAATGGGAGGGCGTTGAGATCCTACATGCCGTTCAATATGACCCTCAGTAATCCATCGATTCTATATTCGCATAACAGTGGTTGGATGTCGATCAGTGCCACCGGCGATATCACGGAACGATAATCCACACTTTCGATAAGCAAAGATCCTGCCTCTATCGAATGCCACTCCACTCGAATAAAAAGAGGAAATACACAATATTCTGAGCAAACTCCAACCTTACAAAGCACTTTCCGAATGAGAAATCCACTACACAACGTTTTTTTTTTTTTATGCAGTGCTTCAGATGTCGTTTCTCCCTCCTGCGTCGTCTAAATGCGTTGAAATTCCAGTCATTTGCATATCCAAACTTCGTCTTCCTTTTATGTGATTTTGACGTTCGTCAGCCTATTCCTTCCTGGTTTTGCAATTTTAATGACCAGCAGTATAATTTAGCTGAAAGTCTTTAACTAAGTCAGAGCTTTAACTAAATGAAATCAGTACAATAAACAACTAAAATTCATTAACCACAGCTGGGATGTACAGATTACAATTATTCAAAATAATAATCATTAGCTTGTAATCTAATAACACAGATTCGACCATGTACAATTAAAGAAAAGTCTAGGAAGATTATGCTTATTTACGAACTAATACCTCTAACTTAATTTTAATTCGCTTACTCGCCAAAAGGTCATGTCTAGTTATTTGATTGATTTTGAGGTGTTCCAGCTTGCAGGCAGATGTATATCAAACGGTATCGACTCGAAGAACTAAATCGCCGCTTCTCTTGTTCTATCTAAGTTGATCATATACATAATTCCGCTCGTTTTATGAACCGCTTTTCTATTTAACTACTCATTTACATAATTCTGGAATGAAGAAATAAAATAAATGCTAAAGTGGCTGGAATAAAAAAGCTAAGAACTTAGTGCTGGCAGAGCAATGAAAACCTTACAACACAGTTGTGATTTTAATTTCCCTTTAAATAATTTTTGTACAGGTGAAATTTTAGTTTTTGAAGGCGAAATTTTACTTTTTGTCAATGCATTTAAGTAGTGTGCATTTTATTACGCTTAACTGACTATACCATATTTATTCCATTATTTAACCTTCCAGCAAGCGCGCTTGCAATTTTATATGAGAACGCGCGCGTCGTATTTTGTACGACATCCGTTATTTTACCGTTTTTGGCACGAAAAACAACAGAAATGAGTGAATATTGATAATAAATTTTTAAGAAATAAAATATTAATCTTATTTTTGCAAAATACAAATGATATCACATTCAAATATAAGTAAATTATTTTTAAGTTCTTATTTCAGTGAGATGGAAATGCAATGATGTATTTCATTATAGAACATTTTTAATTTATTATTTAGTAATTATATTTTAAAATCGAAGTTAATTTTAATATTCGTCAAAGGCAAGTATAGACAAATAAAAAGGAAAAACACCGTGGTAGGAAAAAAAGTAAGTTTAGCATTACTTACTTCTGCAAGGAAATTTACTTCTTTCTGGTTACAAAAACGCACTTTAAACTAACTTTAATATTTTTATTTATTTCTAAAAAATAAAAATAAAAGAAAATAAGGAATAGAAATCGCTATTGTTCTCCCATCATCCAAAGGTTTCTTTCCATGTTTTCCTTTTCTTCATCAGATAATTCTTGAAGAATGCGAGCAAAATCAGCTGGTTGCACATAATTTTTGGCCATAAAAACTGATATAAAATTTACAGAGCCAAATGTATTCAAATTAAAATAATACACGGCAATTAATAACACAAAATTACAAAATATTTGAAAAAAAATATTTCGGAATTTTCACCTACGAACACGTGCGTGTCGTAACTTTTACGAAAAAGCTGCCACGTAGCACAAATGCCCAGTAAAAAAAAAGTCAAATGACTTCCTGTTGGCACATTCCATGATGTGGGGAAGGATAGAAAGGAGGAATGGAAATGACATTTAGACGACTCAGCTTCGATATGCGAAAAATGTGCATTAAAAACTGTGTTTGTCGTAAATTTTGCGCATACGTGCGTGCTGAAGGGTTGAGCTGGTGATGATATAAAATTTAATTCAGGCATATTAATTAAACCTTACAAAAAATATTTATTTAGACTTAAGAAAGCAACATAATTGCTGAATTTTCATTACTCTGGCAGCTCTCTACATTTTGAAAAAAAAAAAAAAAAAAAAAAAAAAAAAGATCAAAAATAGACGTACCACATAATAAGAAAATGTGTTTGGCATCAAAATAACTCTTAAGCTTTCAGTTTGGTTTCAGCCTTAGATTTATGATTTTTCTGTGTTAATACACTCGATAGAGTTTTAGAGAGCTACGATTATGTTGCAGCGGGTTCTTTTAATTTCCTAATAGGTTTTTTTTTTTTTTTTTTTTTTTTTTTTTTTTTTTTTTTTTTAAATTTTGAACAACTTAAGCTTAAACTGAAAAAACTGAAAAATTGTGTTTCTGACTGAAAATGTGTTTGGCATCAAAATAACTCTTAAGCTTTGAGTTTGGTTTGAGCCTTAGATTTATGATTTTTCTGTGTTAATACACTCGATAGGGTTTTAGAGAGCTACGATTATGTTGCAGCGGGTTCTTCTAATTTCCTAATAGTTTTTTTTTTTTTTTTTTTTTTTAATTTTGAACAACTTTCCTTTATTTTCTTGTTTGCGACCTACGATTCCCTAACAGAACGAGTTCCCAGGACTGCGTTTTGTGCAAATGAGGTAGAAGCAGTATTTAAAGATCACTTCCATAGAAAAATCCACATTATCAAAGTATTTTCGTAGAAGAGCTTAGAAGCTTTTAGTAAAGCGTGTTTTGCCTTCTGGCCATGTCGCCGCTTAAAGCCAGATCTTGCTCCGTTTGGCTGCATTGTTACGTGCCTGCTAGTACTCGCCGATGAGACTGAATAAGGGCCAACTCTGTTAGTTAATTCTGTGCAACTTCCGCTGGTTTCAGTTTAGTTAACATTAAATAAGTTTCTTATTTTCTGTCTTAAGTTGGGGAAG